TGGCTCGCGTGGAGGGGTGAGGATTTTCAGCGAATATCAGGAATCGTTTCATGAGAATTGATTTTCCCTTATCCTTTACTCATTTCTCGGGTAGACAGCAACCTTGTGCCACTGGATCTGAGAGCTCTTCCATCACCGAGGATTTTTCGAACGGACTTGTCCTACGAGCACTGCCTGGATTCGTTTCATCGTCAAAAACGAAAAGAATGGAAGGAAGAACTTCGTGAATTTTTTCTAAAAGAGAAATCATTGCGACGAACCTTGTAATTGTAGATTCCAAATGTGTTGTATGTCGCCGATCTTGAGAAGTTCTTGTCCTTCGTACTTCGATGTCGGTCTCGAGCAAAATCGCGCGGCAGAGCCTGTAACGATCGACACAAATGCAGCATTGCGATACAAAATGAGTCCTCGGCCATGAAGTTGTTCGAACCTCGGAAACAGATCCTTCTCATATCCAGAGCGATGCTCAGGAGACAAGGCCGGGCTACCTTCATAGAGGCACGAAGATTACCTCAAAGCAAAGTGGTAGCAAAACTACAAATCCTAAGTTTGCTGCTACCATATTGCACGTGATCTCCTGATCTTGGCAGTGTCGACCAAGATCAGGAAACCACCAGGAAATCTGGACTAGCAGCTCTACACGAGAATGAAAAGCCCCGAAACCTTGTTGTAGTTTTCTACTTTGGCTCCTTTGACATTAATGATCAAACTCGACGCGCAAGCGAGTAGCGTGTTTTATGAAGCCATGTATGCATGACCAATCGAAAATGATGGATTGGTCACGTTGTCTAGGAAGGAAGTTGTTAAAGTTGGACCGAGTATCATCCTCTGACCCTACGAAATATACAATCGAAAGAGAAGCAAAATCCAAAGAATCATGACAAGGAGATTCATTCTTTTTGTGATAATTACAGCACTGGTGCGAGCAGCAGTGTCATCGATCTCTGTTCAAGAGGGCGATCTTCGACGTCTAACATGCTTCACAGCAATCCTGAGCATGAATGGCGACTCGTCCCACAAATCCAACTGGTGGCAATTCCTTCCATATTTACAATCGAGCAGCGAGCAGGCCTTTCTGGGGTACTTGGTTTCTAGCTTCTCGGGTCGAAACCTCACGGCCGAGGTTGCGGAGAAAGGTGGGCTTTTCTCAACTAGAAACTCTTCTCTCGTAGAGCACGAGTCCGAGGAAACAATCAAGAGCTTGGGAACTATAAAGATCACTATGTGGGCATTGGGTTTTGTTTGTCTTGACGACGTTGGAGCTGGAACCTGTGTTAAGTTCACGCCCGTGGTGATCCGGGCCATTCCTGGTACCACAAAGTATGGATTTTTTTCTCTATGGGAAGAGCAAAACGGTATGTTGAGCAACACTGTTGAATCCAAGGTTTTGACTCTTCCCAACTGGAACACGCACATCGAAAGGTTAAGTGGGATGACTTTGAGAAGCATCGATCTCAATCATGCCAATGCAACCGGCCTCGGTTTTTGCAAGGGCATGGAGCTAGATCCACAAACTTTCAACCGAAACATCATAGTGCTCAGGGGAACTAGAGATTTGGATCCATCTACGAATTTCAGGGTGAAGACAGCTCCGGAAGTAGCAGGATTCGACATGTCCAAGCAAGTCGTCTTTGCGAGGCGACCAAGCAGGAACCTTTGCCTGCTTGGAGTTGACAACTCCTCGAGCAGCAATTCTATTTCCTCATCTGTCGACTTGAGGACCACCACAACTCTCGTCGACATTCTGGGCTCGTTCATGTCTCACGTCAAGACCTCTTACATTCAGGCGCAGAACTCGGCCCTGGACCTCAATCATCCAGCCTCGGATTTTTGGGTGGCAGCGGTGGCTCTTCCCAGTGCCTTCATAGCCGTGGTGGCAGCAGCCGTGCCTTTTATCAATCTCCAGCTCAAGCTCTTTAGGAACTTGACGAGATTCCAGCGATGGAAGACGATGATGCTGTGCGTGAGCAATTCCATTCTCTCGGTTGCATCTTACTCTGCTGTGATTGCCGTCACCCCTGCTGAGATCCAGAGGCAGAGGAAATTTGCGACCTGGGGGCTGCTAGCGGACCAAGTTCCAATTACAAGGCGAGGGCTTCAAGTTCTCGTTGTTGTCAAGGCCGAGTCGGTCTACAAATCCGGCAGCCTCATACTTGCGTGGTGCTCCACTGCTTTCCTCGTTCCCCTGGTCGCATGGATGACATTCTATAGATGCAAGCAAGTTTTCTCCAGGAGACGGCTTCTCAAGGCCTCGGGCACGCCGGAAGACGAACGAATCCTTGATCTTCAAGCCATAGAAATGAGCGCCGTGGAGCAGCAGCGGCTGGAGAGGAAGCTCGAGGCAATTAGAAGTTTAGAGAGAAGAGTCAACCAGCTCCAGAGCATTAGAATTTACAACAGAGCCAAATCACTCTCCTAGCACATCTTGCCTCTTTTTTTTCTTACCATCTTTTTCTGTTTTATAAATTTTTATTTTGTCCTGGTTTTATTTTGATCAAACCAAAGCTCAAACTCAATGGGAACACGAGCGCCTTGTGCAGCGATGAAGCTGCTCGACATCGTTGGGATGTAAAGCCGCGTCGTGATGGGGAGAATGGCGAGGGTGCTTCTTTCTCTTGTCACCGATGCGGCAGCGCTGGTACTTGCACTGCATTGGGATTTCCAGGCATGTTTATTATCTGTGACAATCGAGCGAAGAGATAACTTCTTCTGTCCAAATGATATGAAAATATACCCAGCCACGCTCCTCGAGAGCACCGGTGTTGAAGGGCCGTGCAGGTCTCTCGAAGACCCTGGGAGGAGCGAAAGTGGTAGTAACAGCGATCATACCAGATAGCATACCAAAAATACAGGAAGTGCTTGGAGATTGGAGTGACAATCAACACATTGATCTGATACTAACCACCGGTGAGTGCGTCATAATATATGCTTCGAGTTCTAAACAAAACGAATACTCTAACAGGAGGAACTGGCTGTACACCCGGAGGCCACCAGGCAAAAGGTCTAGCCACCGTAATGCTGCTTGAAAGCCCCAAGGTAGATTCTATCCTCCTGTTACCGCTTTGATCTATTCTCTGTCCGCTGGATAGAAACAAAACAATGGTCCAGAAAAAGAGCGTCCAGCTTTTACCTTCCGTGTCACTCACGATTAGGATGCTTTTTTTTATGCCTGGCTTGGTCGGGTCCGGAGTTTTCACTGGTTTTGATTTGCTCGTGATATCCCTGTTAGAAACAAGAGAGCCAGCGGTTAGGACTCCAGGCCCTTTCGGAAGCTCGAGCAACGTGTTTGCACATACCAAGAGGCAACCACTAGCCTGTCGTCCTGTGCTCTCTGCAACGTCATGTTGCAATCATTAAATGAAACTGCTGAAACGTACCCCGACTAAATCTCAATGTCCTCCCATTGTAAAACAGCGCGATGATATTCTGGCCTCGTTGGATCAAGCTTGATTGGCTCACGTGTTCTAGCTTGAACTCTGCATAAAACAAGTTGTCATTCGAATGTATTCTGGAACTTGGCAGAAGTTTACTTGCAAGGGAAAGTGTAATAAGATCAAAAGTCACCATGCCACTGACAGGGTTCCTAGGCAAGCCGAAAACAAGCATTTTCTTGTTGCTTCCTGGGGCTGCAAGTGTTGCAAACGTCAGTGGCTTCCCTGGTTTCAGAGCACAAAACAAAAGGAAAGACTTGTACAAAGCTAACCTTGTTGAAATAGATAGTTCCCCTTTCAGCAAGTTTTGGCTTCACGAAATCCCTGTCCCCATCGATATGAGAACATCGACACCCTGAGGAATGTCAAGTTTTGCTTCTATCCCTGTTTCAATATCTCTAGCGATTCCAAGATCGATACAAGTACATTGATGACTTCGAACAGCTGTAACAAGCATAGGTCTGTTTGAATCCCGAATCTATGCAAAACGAAAGGCCAGATTTGAAACAACAGAAGTGGACGTATATTGTCACCTGGCCTCTCTGTAAACTATTTCCAGAATAATCTATTAATTCATCTCCGGTGGACAGTATAACTGTGGGGCGTGGAAACACCTGAAAACTCAAGACTGTGAAGTACAACGGAAAAACAGAAACACTCCAGCTTTCTACCTTAACCTTTGTAGTCCCAACGCTTGCTATTTCCGCTACTGCTGATAGAACTTTGTCTCTTTTAGCAATATCAAACCCTGGATTGAAACAAAGTTCCCAGCTACCAGATTCTAGAGTGAAAAGAAATCCTAAAGAGTGAAAGGATCTTTCAAGTACAAAGTCCATACCACAGGCGTATATCTTGGCCTTGGCTAGCACCGGACAGGACGCGAATTTCTTATGTCCATCGAACGAAAAAATGCACGTATTCTCCAGGACAACAGTGTCAGCACCGCGAGGCACAGGACGTTTTCCGCATAAGAGAAACTGTGAAACGTGAGGAAGTCACCTCCAGTAGTGACGTACGCAACAGTCCCAGATTTTATGGTGATGTCCTCCGCGTCCAGGCGCCACCACTGGATAATCGCCAGAATCATCCGACGACACGACAGCATAGCCATCCTGGGAGAAGCATAAGAGAACTGGAGGGCGTTCTTTTCATTCGTCCTTAAAAACGTAACAAAAGAAAAAGAATGACGAGAACTTACCATTGCAATTGTCGACTTCCTCCAGAATTGCTACGCCAACAGCTGCCTCGTCTGTAGCTGGTTTCTTCTCCATGAGCTCCTCGGTCCTCTTGCAAAAACCATGGCGAGGTGGACGATCTTGGAAATCCTCCCTCTGCCTCGAAATATTCTCCAGCTGCCCCTGCGCATCATCCCGCTGCCTCTTGGAGGAATCCGCCAGCTCATTCTCGCCCTCCAGATGCCGATCCAGCTCCTTCTTGAGGAGTGCACACCTCGAGGCCTGCTATCTCGACGACGCGCTCCGATCGTCGTCCTCGAAATCGCTAAGCGCAGCTCCATCATAGAATGGCACGGGTCAGCCGCAAGCTCTTTCATACGATCGTCTCATGGATTCATACCTTTGAATATGGTGAATCTCTTCATTGAAAACTCAAAATCTCCTAAGTATATGTTTGCAATCTCGAGTTGAAATTTTCTACACTACCAACAAGCTTTACATTCGAGGAAAACTTACTTTATCATGGACTGCGTCTCTTGATCATCCAGTTTTCTACAGAGCTTTCTCAATCACGTGTGTAACGTTACCTAGTATAGCTTTCTGCGACAGATTCTCGGTCGTCTCTTGGAGCTCCTGGAATGCATCGGTGAAGCGTTCGAGTGGCGTCTCGCCAATGCCCTTGCTGGGCTTTTGGTCACACCGAGAGCAATGACCCCTGGAACTACAAGCAAACAGGTCTGTCGAGTGACACCAAAGAAGTTCGGCATTTCAAATGCTTGCTTTAGAGACGTGGACAATACCGTGATACCACAAGTCACACTGATCGATAATGTCAACGAGTCGTCAGCTAAAGTCAAAGTAGAAGTTTTTTATACAACTGCAACAAGGTGGTGGCGAGACTTTTCATCCTCGTGATGGATCAAACCAGCAGCGGCTAGAGCTGATAGTCCAGATCTCCGAGGAGACCCTGATGGTTTCCTGATCTTAGTCGACACTGCCATGAACTGCTCAAAATCAGGAAACTCATGCATATGTTCTTGGGCAGCAAACTTAGGATTTGTAGTTCGCCGGTAAGTGGAGAACCACTTCGCTTTGAGATAATCTTCTTGCCTCCATGGAGGTATTGCCAGGCCTTGGCTCTTGAGCGACTGCTTCATCGCTCTGGATGTGAGAAGGATCAAGCGATGGAGTGTTTCCGAGGTGCCAATAAAAAGTCGAGGGACTTTGCTCAATGTGGCGGCGTAGCTTTGGCTTGGCCGAGCAATCACGAACTGCATGCTAAACTCCGTATCGATGAACACTCGTTTTCTGGGATGGAGAAGAACATCGATGAAACTGTAGTGCCCTGGAAGATCATATGCATATATAAACACAATAATCTCTACAAGTTCGCAGAGGTTTGTGACCTTCAGGAATGGTTCTTGTTGCCTTCCATCTCGACTTGCAAACAGCGGCATTGTATCCCATGCCCCGGAGTTTGCTCATCACGCTTCTTTGCAAAGCTGCTCCCTGGAGATTCAATTTTGCGGCTTGATCTCTCGATCGTCGAGCATCCGCAGCCAGCAGCTCGATCTCACCATCATTCTGGACACAAACCAGACTTCTTGTAAAGGTAAAGTTGGAAGAAAGAAGCATGCACGCACCTGTTTGACGAGTAAATTTTCTAGCTCCGGCAGTTTCAACTCCTCCGGATCCGCATTTGAGTGATCCTCATGGTGATTCTCTCCAGCGGCAACAGTGTGGTCTTGATGATCGATGCTGCCGCCATCGGCCTCCTCTTCCAAGAACTCGTCCACAATCCTGTTGAGAAACAGAGAGGACGCTGTCTCATCGTGCTGGCTCCCGCTGCTACAAGATCTAAAACTCACGGTGGTGGCCGACGCCAATGCTTGGTACAACTTAGACATGTCGAGAAGGAAGAAGAAGGAAAGTAAGATCTCAAAGAGACGACACTTGTGAAGAATGTTGTCCAGAATTTCGATAGCTCTGCAATGTGCTGGCACCACTAGCTTTAACGCATCATCACTAGAATATAAGCATCTATCCTAGCAAATATGCCAACAGAAGAATATTTGGGCTGGTATATCTTCTGGGATAAAAAAAATTACATGGTTTAGTAACAGTCGTGGCTAGAGATGGTGTCACTGTTTCCGCGAGGGAGAGAGCGAGGCAGCCATGAGCCGACAGCTCGCAGCATTTCCAGTTTCCAGTTTCTTAAACTGAAAAATTATCCCCTTTGTTTGATCGGTGATTGTCGTCCTCGCTCACGGTCCACCACTGGGCAGCGACTGTAATATTGTCCACTTCTGGATGGAAATCCGTTCGGGGCTTGACATTTCTTCTTGGCGATCTAGCACTTACGTGTGTTCTTATCTTCGTAGAGTTTTTGGCCTTCACATAGTTTTTTATACACGATAAGTAACGTCCAGCCAGTCAGCTCGGCTATACAATCGTATAGAAAATACTTGTTTGTATGCTTCACAGCAATGGCCACCCCCAAGGCTAACAAGCAGCCTATCAATCTCCGGAGTGATATCGACTAATATGCACGGGCATATATGGGAGGGATGTGTTCCACTGTTCGCGCGCCGTACTCTTTTCTGGAGAGAAAATTGAAGAAAGAAATGCACGAGCTTTCTGGAGATAAATGAAGGGAAGGACCAAGACTCAAAGCAGCAAATAGAGTCCAACCCGGTCAACGAGAGTGATTTGTAAGTTCTCATCTTCTGTAGCTGGTTGTCCCTTCTTTCTGAACTTTTGACTGCCTCGAGCTTCCTCTCCAGCCGCTGCTGCTCCACCGAGCTGGCTTAAAGATCAAGGAGCTGTTCGTCTTCCAGCGTGCTCGTTACCTTAAGAAGCCACCTCCTGGAGAATACTTGCTTGCATCTATAGAATGTTATGCACGCGACTAGTGGAACATGGATCACAGTGGAGGACCATGCCAATATGAGGCTGCCGGATTTATAGACCGACTCAGCCTTGACAACAACAAGAACTTGAGCCCTTGCCTTGTGATTGGAACTTGGTCAGCGAGCAGTCCCCAGGTCGCAAACTTCCTCTCTGCCTTCTGAATCTCGGCGGGGATCATAGCAAGCACAGCAGAGTAAGATGCTACCGAGAGAATATAATTGCTCACACACAGCATCATCGTCTTCCATTGCTGAAAACTTGTCAAGTTCTTGAAGAGCTTGATCTGGAGATTGATGAAAGGCACGGCTGTTCCCACCACAGCACTGGGAAGAGCCACTGCTGCCACCCAGAAATCTGAGGCCGGATGATGGAGATCCAGGGCTGAGTTCCGCGCTTGAATGTAAGAGTTCTTGACGTGAGACATGAACGATCCCAGAACGTCGACGAAAGTAGCGGTGGTCCTCAAGTCAACAGATGAGGAAATCGAATTGTTGCTTGAGGAGCTCCAAGCAGGCAAAGCTTTCTCCGTGGTCGACTCGCACTCGGACATGTCGAATCCTGCTGCTTCCGGAGCTGTCTTGACTATGAAAGTCGTCGATGGGTCCAAACCTTCCCCAGCTCCATGCCTTTGCTGATCGCATTAGCGTGATTGAGATCGATGCTTCTCAAAGTCATCCCACTTGACTTCTGGATGTGCATGTTCCAGTTGGGAAGGGTCAACACTGTGGATCCAACAGTGTTGCTCAGTATCTCCACTTTCATGTCTCCAGTAAGCTTGGATGTCAACAGCTTCCTATGCTTGAACAGGTTCTCGTGCTCAGTAACGTCGAGTTTACCTTAAGACCATGGTGAAACCTTGCTGAAGACATCTCTAGGTGCCACCGCGCGTATCTAGCTCTCGAGGTGGTCAGTGGCTGATAACTCTCGAGGCCGAGTTGCTTGAGCTTTTAAGCGCCGGTTGGCATAAGACCCGGTGCCCTTCGAAACACTGGAAACTACCAAGATCATCCTTCCTATGAAACCTTCCAGTATGGACTTGTGGATTTCCGAGAACAAGAGTTGCTGCTCGCACCATTCAACGGCTGTCAACCTGGACGCAGCCAGCTCGCGAGCGATCAGATGCGCAATGCCGTCACCACGCCCTCAATACACGGAGCTAGAGCGGACCTCGGTGGATACCCGGTGGAACCTTCACGCATGAAGGAACAGTAAATCACAAACACGCCAGAGTTGCGCAGGCTGCACACCATGAACGATTTCCCCCAGCCACTGCTCCGGGCAAAGGGTCCTTGAAACTTGAACCGTTCTGCCCCAAGCTGCGGTGTAAGCATCAAGTTTAGAGAGCAGATAACTTGTCATGGCCGAGAAACGCTTGCTTCCAATCCACACACCATCGATTTTCTCCGAGATCACTGGCTGATCGAGCCGTGGCACAACACGATAGGCCCTCATGGGATCTGGCACAATGCAGCCGTCTCAGCGGGCAGCCTTCGTACCTGATACTTTGAGCTATGAAAAGGATTGATCGAACTGCGAATTGCACAATAACTTGACATCAAAGTTTCCGTGAGGCAAATCTTCAGTACCCCACCAATCCATCATTTTCGATCCATCGTGCATGGCGAAGCTGACCGAGTTTCATCTTCTGAATACTTAGAAGCAAAATCCAAATTAGTTGGGCAGATATCAGGACAAAGGGGAATCCCTTCTCGTTGTGATAACAGGTACATTGATCCCAGTTCACGAGGGCAATGTTCAAAGTCTATCATGCTTCACAGCAATCCTAAGCATGAACGGCGACTCATCCTAATGGTGGCAGTTCCTTCCATTTACACTCGAGCAGCCAGCAGGCCTTTCTCGCGTACCTGATTTCCAGCTTCTCGACTGAAACCAGAAACTCTTCTCTCATAAAGCACAAATCCAAGAGCTTGGGAACTATGAAAATCACCATGTGGGCTTTGTTTGTCTTGACGACGTTGGAGCTGGAACCTGTGTTAAGTTCACTCCCGTGGTAATCCGAGAAGTATGGATTCTTTTCTCTGTGGGCAGAGCGTGGGATTCGCAAAGTATAAGCTGGCTGATCGCTGTCGTAAGAAAATCGTTCCCCAGCAAGCGCTGTCGCAGGAACAGGCTGCTGCCTTGTTCATGGCCTCTATCGGACCGCAGCTGTTCTCCGACTCATGTTTCGTGGCAGGCTTCGTGGCGACGTGCGATGACGAATGATCACATTAAGTGTCAGTGGAGCCGTGTTGGGGCAGCGGCACGGCTTATGCACAATCACAGATATCTGCGTCCCGCTATAGAGAAGTTTGCGTTGTAGAACGGGAGAGGGGCGAGCTGGTCGCTAGGATCATTCTTCTCGTGGCAATGCACGAGTGTGCACGAACAGCGGCATTCCTGCGACTCGTACTTTGACTACTTGCAGCACTTGCTTGGAGGCAAATGGAATCCTGAGGACTGCATTCCACTTAACACGACTCGGGCTTTACTCTATTTCAATCACTTCATTCCATTGGAAAAGGTTGTCAAGCTTTCCAAGCAGAAGCTGTGAGACCGCTGGGTTCATGGAGCTGCATTAGTGTATGCACCGCAGCACTTCGCGAGTGACATTGGAGTTCCCTGGGTGGAGTTTGACGATGATAACAAGGTCAAAGACATGGAAGTGTTGGAAGTAAAGGTGTCGGTCGAATTGGAAAAGCTCGTCTTTTGGTAAGGCTGCAAGATTCTTGAAGCTTAAGCATAGCAAAAAGCAGAATTTCAATGATGAAATGCTTTGGCTGTGAATTTGGGGATGAGAGATCTGGAGGCCTTCGTTCTTAAGTGGTAACGTTAACCTGAACCACTTGCTTAATTGCAGTTCCTGACATATGCCTGCTTCTCAGCCTCGACACAATTTGTCCGCTGTCAAACGAGTTCAGTGTACAAATACGGAAAAGATTTCGGCCCTGAAAAGTATCAAAGACAGGACTCTACAAGCTTGCATACGATCAGAAAGCCATTATTACCTCTTACTCGAATTATAAGGTAGATTTAATTCTAAATTATTGAGTGCATAATTTAAAAACCTTTAATGTAAAAACATCAACAATGAAATAAAAATGAAAGCACACACACGTAGCTTTCAATTTAATATATATCCAATTGTGATCTCTAGTTTTACTGATTCACTATCAAACACTCGCAATCTGAATTCAGAAGCCGGTGGTTTAAGCCTTTCTGGACATCTTCCATATGGAATGACAATTGGAAAGCCTACTGGGAGACTTAGTGATGGATATTTGTTTATTGATTTTTTGACTCGTGGTCTGAAACTTAGTGATTTTACATGTTCTAGTTTAACATATAATAGTTAATTTATTTCACAAATTTGAATTTTGGTCATACTGGAGCTACAGTTTGTCCACCTTCTTTATATCCTCATTCTTTTGCTACACACTCACATATTACCTGCACAAACAAGTAAAAGATCATTTGGATGAAGCTAATTTTAGTGAAATGGGGGTAATGATATTAATTATATGATGCCAAATTTTACATATTTTGTTAATACTACTATTCCATCAGTGATATTGGGAATTAAATCTAATATTCTGAGTTTATATAAATTTGGAGCAAGAAAGTTTTTAGTGATGAACTTTTTTCGTTCATATTGTGCTCCAAGCTATATATCATAATTTACTAATGCTATTGGTATACATCATGATAATCTTGGATGTGTTGTTGAGGTTGCAAATGTATTTAAAACTTTTAACAGGATGTAGTTGATATTAATATTCATTATCAACCTATTTTATATAATTTTAATTGGTATGCAGTAACTGATTATGTGATGCATCGCTATCAACAGTGCCTTTGGTATATCTGGAAATGAATATCACTGCAAAAGTTTAGCACTTTGTGGCTGTAGACAAACAAATAGCACTACTTGTAAAAATCCAAGAGATCATGTTACTCTGGGATGGAACCACACCTTTATAAAGTATCATCTCAATTTGTTCTGCATGATAATTTTATCACTCCAAAATTAAATTTACTTCTGGGTGTGATATTCTAATGCCATCCTCTAGAAATTAGCTTAGAAATTGATTTAAACGCACTTTCGCCTTTAAATTTCCCATTCTAATGAAAATCATTTTGATTATTCTTTGAATTGCAAAATACAAAGCTCAGTAATTAATGTAAGCGGCACTTTCCAAGTTTCCTGGAAGGAAGCTCCACATAGAAAACGAGCGAGTCTTTACGGCCGTGCACGACATTCGATACGCGAGAGCCATGACTTCGAATCTCGCGTGTTCTCAAAGATTGTGTCGCTGTTTCTGCAAGCGAGCAACCCGGCGGCCAGCCACAGCCATCGTCCACTTCCTGACCGCTTGCAGAATTTCCAGTTGCTTACGCCAACTGAAAGCAAGAATCCGAATCCCTTTTGTTTGATCGGTGATTGTCACAATCCACCACTCAACAGCGACTGTATATCCTCCGCTTCTGGATGGAAATCCTTATGAAGAGCATGAGTTCCTTGACGCTCTAGAGTTCTTCCTGTCATTTAAGTGTTCTTATCTCCGTAGAGTTCTTTGGCCCCCACACGCTTTTGCCTGTAAAAGTCAGCTTTTTATACGCCTCAGAATGGATAAGCGACGTCGAGCCAGCCGGTCCAGTCAGGCTGCCAGCCAGCTACATAAAACGAAAGCTCAGCTCGGCTACAAACATATAGAAAAGAGAAAATCACTTACTTGTTTGTATGCTTCCACAGCAGCGACCAGCACCGCAATGAGGCTGACCAGAGCATGGAGTGTTCTTCCAGGTGTGTGGGTGATGATCCTGCTTCTCTGCTGCAGCTCCGCGGTAGCAATTCTCCCAATCAGCTGCGGGAGCGGGAGCAGTGCCTGCACCCTGCAAAACTATCAAGGGATCTGGTATGAGAGAGCTTTGTGCGGTGTAGCAAATGTGGCTTACCCAACCACCGAAGCTGAGCTCGTTGCCGCGGTTGCAAGCGGTGTGCAGCAGAGGCAGAAGATCAAGGTTGTGAGCAAGCTCTCTCACAGCCTCGTTCGCGCCGCATGTCCAGGAGGAAGCTCCGGACTCCTGATTAGCACCAGCAGGTATGACTCGAGAATTGTCATCGACAGCAACGCTATGACCGTCACCGCCGACGCAGGAGTCCAGCTTCAAGATCTCCTGGCGAGGCTAGCTGCGCAGAATCTGGCACTGCCCTGTACGCCTTACTTCAACGGTCTATCAATCGCCGGAGTAATAAGCACGGGCTCGCACGGCAGCAGTCTGCTTGGGAAAGGTGGAGCAGTGCATGACTATGTCTCCGGAATCACTATCGTCGTTCCTGCATCAAGGGAGCAAGGCTATGCCAAAGTCATCAAACTTGGGAAATCAAGCCCGGACCTGAATGCAGCCAAGCTGTCTATTGGCGTCCTTGGAGCCATATCCACGGTCACGCTCGACGTGGAGCCGATGTTCAAGCGCTCCATCACCAAGCAGGCCCGCGACGACAGCACCCTCGAGAATGACGTTGCTGGATTCGCAAGCAGGTATGCGTTTGGGGATATCAACTGGTACATCTCTCAGAAGAAGATCCTGCTGAGGGTAGACAACAAGGTCTCGGCAAGTACCCCTGGCGAGGGAAGGAACGCTGGCAATGATCCTGCTCCAGAGACAAACGTAAGACAGTCTAGAGTCCGAGGTAAGCTCCAACACCTCATAAAAATCAGAGTTCTCACCTTACGTTGAAATTGTGATTCTTGTACGTAGAGGAGAACTTCATGTCCCAGATGAACGCTTCCTTCGTCTGCCAACAATCACTAAACGGGGTTGAGAACCGAGTCTCGAGCGGAGATGGCCTGGTGAATGACAGGAGCAATACCTTTCGCGGATATCCAGTCGTGGGATTTAATCACCAGCTCCAAACCGCTGGAGGCTGCCAAAACACTGCACTAAACAACACACGATCAGCATCCGGGGAGAGGCTAACATGCTACTGGGACCCCGACGTTCCTGGACAATTCTACTTCCAGACATCCCTAGCAATCCCACTCTCCAGGATCAACGAAGCCATCCAAGACATAAAGAAGATCCGCGATGGAATGGACCCAACCAAGCTCTGCGGTGCAAATATCTATGGCGGAGCACAGCTCAGATTCATCAAAGGATCCACGGCCTACCTCGCGGAGCCCGAGGACTCAGTTGCATTCGAGCTGCTCTACTTCAGAGACCGCCGGCAAAACATGCCCCGGCTGGACCAGGACGCGACGGATGAGATCGAGCAAATGCTGCTCAAGAAATACAAAGGCAGGCCACACTGGGGGAAGAACAAAAACGCGATGTTCGAGGACATGGGCTCTCGAGTCACAAACCTGGCCAAATTCCTCGAGGTCCGCCAGCGTTACGATCCCGACGGATACTTCTCCAGCGAGTGGTCCGACGCCGTGCTCGGGATCAAGCAAAACGCCTCGGTCTACCGCGATTACTGCGCGCTCGAGGGCCTGTGCCTGTGCAAGGAGGACAGACATTGCGCGCCGGAGAGAGGATTCCTGTGCAAACCTGGTTTAGTCTTCACGGATGCTAGGGTGTGCCGCAGAGCATAGCGGAGCTCCCCAAAACCCTATCCCAAGAACCCTAGATAAAATAAAGCGGGAAGATTTGCTTATTCGTGAGTATATACTCATAACATTTACTTAGCTAGTGAAACAGATTGTGGCAAAAACTCCTCCTCCTTGAGCTCTAGATCATGGCGAATAGATGCGAACTTCCTCCTCGAGAATACGGTGAATAGCTGCGAGCTTTCTTCTCTAGACCATGGTGAATAGCTGCAACCTTCCTCTGGATCATTACAAGCTTCCTTCTCTAGATCATGGCACTAGCTTCCTCCTTGTTGAATGTCACGAGTGTTGTGGTAGAGCAACTGGGAGGCCTGGGAGCAAATGCTTTTGAAGCCCGACAACAACTGGAACACGCTGGGGAGACCCGTGTGAAGGCTGTTCAGTGTCATAGCTTTGGTATCATACACTGCCTTGGAAAGTTGCTCCTTCTCCTCTTCCAGCTTCCTCCTGAGTAAATCCACCACAGCTCTCCTAGCAGGCTCTTTGGAGCTGTGAAGGTCAGCTTGTTGGTGTCATCTAGGTGATTGCTACTGCTGCTATGGTGGTGATGATCTGACACTAGAGAAATCCTCGATTTCTCATTCAATATTAATAAAACTTCAATGATATAATTATAAGAAATGTTTTCACAGACTGGCAATCTTGGCTTATGTGGCAAGTGATGTGCCACATAACATGCTAGAGAATGGCGTTGGCGCTCCTCCTCATTGGCGGTCTTATCCTAGTGCATGATGCGAGTAAGCTCTCGCCTCACTTTCCATTCATTTTTTCTCAAGATCTTCTAAAGGTTTCACAGATTCTCGAGGCCAGGTGTGGGTAGTGGTGCTGTGCAACAAGTATCTCGTCTGAGCAACGTTCTTCTATAGAGATTATGATGGAAAGAGAAAACCTCCAAGGTTTGATCTCTATCTCCAAGCGAGCTATTGGACAGGCGTGACAATGAGTGGACAAGGCAGCAAGCAGCGAAATTCTCTGAGTGTGTGCCTTGCTGCTACTGCCTCTGGAAATGTTCCATTCATTTCGTCGTTTGGCACCTAGAAGCAATAAGGTACTGTCTTTGGATCAGGCTGAACATTGAATCCTTGTTTGAGGTGAGTATTAGGTATGTTTTTCTAGTGATGCTTTAACTTTTTGTAGACATCTTGAAGATAGGTATAATCAGATTTGGATGGTTTGTTTTTTCTTCTGTTTCCACTTGTCATATTATTCATTTTATATTTCGAAGCAAGTGGAGAGTTGTCCCAATCCTGCAACAAGAGGTCTCTTACTCCTCTTGGACTCCATGGGAATCTAACAGGTTAAGCAGCTTTAGGAATTAAGCTAGGTAAAAATTTGAGTATCTCAATGTTAAACTTTTGTGTTTCCTTTCAAAATTTTCAAAAACCTTGCCAGTAAGTTGAATATTCTTTTATGATCTTATTTTCCTTTTACAGAGTCAATGAGCTAGCTAAAGTATATATAATTATAAAATGAATAAAAGGAGAAATAAAAAATAGCTAAGTCAATGAATCTCAATACTAGAAACAAAAATATATTATCTAAATAAAATTCCTTTTTATTTTGTCAAGAAGGTTGATATTGTTGGACTCATTATTAGTTCCCACTTGAGCTAGTTGAGAAACTAGTCAATGACTGTGATCATTTTTTGTTGTTTAAATCCTAAGGAGTTCACTTTATGTAAATGATGGAAAACTTATCCATTTATAAAAGAAAAATTAAAATATCCCTTAAGAATGCTTCCTAAGTCAGCTAAAAGTGGCCATAACAAAAATTCAATAAGTGAATATATTTGGATCAAAAGCTTCAATTTGAAAAGTCAAGAGTGAAAGTGGAATTTTTAAAGAAATGCTTGAGGAACAATCACAAAATGATGGATAAGTGAATCTTTAAAATCTTTAGAATCTTTAGAAAATCAATCCAAGATAGGTTTGAGATTGAGTATGAGAGATTAAGTCCAAGATTGAGTCTAAGATTAGGTTTGAGAATAGGTTTTAGATTCGAAGGGTAAAAGCTTGTTTGTCTCCCAAACCCTAAGAGGTTTCATATATCTTTATAGGATAATAGGGGGAGGGCATAATATAAATATTGAGGAATCCAATGCTAAAGTAAATACATATGGATAAATAAAGTGATTTAATGAAGCGTTCAAAAGTTTATTTGGGAGATTAAATGGTCAATGCTCTCAATTTAAATATGGGTCACACTACCTACTTAGATACCTTACGTGGTTCATTAAAATCTCACTCTACTTATATGGTTAGGGCACTCTAGTGGCAAAAAATGAGGACAGTACTCATAAGGCTCATATTAGACTGTAGTGTTTTGAAATGTCATCCTAAAATCCTTGATTGTGGAAAGAAAAAAGAATGGTCTTCTTACTTAATAACTAAAAGTATAATTATGTGGTAAGAAAGTCTGAAAGATTAATGGGATATACTAGATGGGTTTTTAGGCCTTGATCTAATAGCAATGTTAATGAACACTACCATGGATGAAGAGGAACTTTGTGAGATCAAATAAAGGATATTAGAGGATAATGAATATTTCCCTATCTCTTGGGGTATTAAATGTTAAAGAGTGGTTATACAATGAGCACTTATGAACGGATAGTTTAATCTTTAAAAGACATGACCATAGTATGAATGATCTTCAATTACTAATAAGATAGTGAGAATGGGGTTTTAGTATAAAAGCTTGGTATGTTAATAGTATCTTTAGGTGACTAAGAAGTTGTGAGTGAAACTTTTCTAAGTGGTCTTTGGTGGGATAAATGACTAAAGTAAAATGGAAAAGTTAGTTGCTTATATTAAATTTATGAAAGTTAAACCTTACCCTTTTTTGTATGATTACTTTTCTTTATATTTATATGAGCTAAAATGTTTTATGATTGATATGAATATAAATTTAATTTTATTCTTAGGTTTTTTTATAATCATTATTCTTTTATATGTTAATTTGGTCCTTCTATGGTCTGTTGTAGTGAATTTTGTGGTGGTACTATCTATAGTATTTGTAGTTCATTTTTATTATTAGTTATCGTAAGTTAATATATTCATAGTACAAAACTGCATCAGCTAGTTTTACTAATCTGTTGTTTTTTTCAAAGAATATATTATGTCTTTGTTCCAATAATTTATAAATATTTAAAATAAAATTGAAAATTAAATAAAAATAAATAAATACAAAAAATGTACATATTAAAGCCAAAACCCTAGCTTCTATATAAAGTGGTCTATATTGAAACCAGTCTAATAGCTATACAAATTTCATTATGCTAATAATCATATATAACATTTTAGTTATACTCACTAGACCTTACATCATTCCCTTTTTTTCAAAAAGATGAAAGGTTGATAGGATTCTTTAATTAATAGGCTAGGATCTACAAGAACATTAAGAAATGATACTAGTCGATTTATAGATAGTGTTATTTATTCTTGATCCTTTTGTATAAAGTGCTTTAACCATTGTATATACATAATTTTTGGAGGATTAACCTATTGAATGTCATGTTAAATTTCATAAATTTTCAGTTCAACTTGTTATAACACTTAATATGGTCTCTTCCACTAAGCAAAAAGCCTTTTATATAAACCATATACCGTAAAATTAGGAAAATAAACTAGTATTAAATCATTTATTTTGTACTTTATAAGTGGATGATGATAAGAGTTGTAGTGTTGTTGTTGTTCTATTTATACATAGCCTAAGTGTTCATTCAACAAACTCTACTTGAACTAAAGGAAGAATGTTTGTCAAATACTAATCTTAGGACCTAAAATTGACAACTTATAACAATCACAAAGGTAAATTCAACTCTATTAACAATATTGGATCATGATTACATAAAAGTTTAAATAGTGAAACATCAATAGAACTTTGTATTTGTATGATATATGCATACCAAAGAGACAACAAAAAGCCATCTTAATCTGAATATTGAAAGTTCAAATACTTTATAATCATCCCTTTGAAAGTCTAAATGAGTTCTTTTATCAAACCATCCATCTGTGGATAATAAAGACTTATAAAAGTGTGATATATCCTCAATTAGGACATTAAAATGTAAAATGCCTTAGCCATAAATATAGGATCATTATCTAAGAGAATTTACTCTAGACATAAATGTTAAAACACTATTCAATATAGGAAGAAGTATCTAATAACAATTGTAAACACATTAGTTAAAGCACTAACTTCCACTCAATAAATCAAGTAGTTGGAGGTAATAATATTATACTCATTGTTAACAATCAATCATGGAAAAGGCCTATCAAATCAAATATCATTAACTCAAATAAATAGGAAGTTGTAATTAACTTTAATTGTTCTTTTACAACATAAGGGGGAGGATTATGAATTTGCCACTAGATGCAACTATGCATTTACTAAATAACATCATATCACATCTTTAGCCAATAGAAAAACTTATGCAACTTTTTAGTTATACAATAATGTTCCAATTACCAAAAATAGGCAAGTCATGGTAAGCATGAAGAGAGAGCAGAATAAAAATTAAAAACACCATTAGGTGGAAATGATCATCAAGATCAATTTGTATAAAGTAAAGAAGGTTATCCTCAAGGCAATATTGAGAATGTAAATACTAAAATAATAAGTTATCAGTAAATGATGTAAGATTCTCAAAATAATTACAAAACTTTCAGATCTATAATTATCAATCTTTTGAACCTTATGAACTATGTTAAGAGAAGGTAAATCAAATTCTACACCTTATGGAAACTAAACATCAAGTATAGTAACCATTGATAGCATAAAATCCTTTTTTGGAAAATCTATTGATGTTAGAACAACATGCTTATTAGGAATATGAAAAGAGAGTGAAGAAAGAAAAAAAAAACTTGAGAATGGGTGGTAGCAACAATTATAAAAATTCCTAGGTCATGAATAAATTTGAAATTATATATATATGAAATTTTAGAGCACATTGAGTAGCATGATTGTTTTTCTCCTTTAATAATGAAGTACACATTTTAGTAATGTTGGAGAACCATAGTTTAAACCCTAAACTATTATTAAATGCTCCTTTATCATGGAGTAGTTTGCCTCTATTAGTTATAAAGTACAATTGATATATATATAATAAGATAATGTTGACTAGATACACTTATAGTCTTTTGTATCAACATACCCCAAGAACAATATCAAAAGTATCCATATACTTAAGTGTATTAGGATATGCTAAAATTAGAAGAGTCATCAATAACTTTTTGAGATTTACAAATGTTTACTCACATTCCTTATACCAAATAAAAGATGATGTTAATGATTTTAACAACACTCGTAATAGTGTTATATGATTAAAAAGATGATCAATAAAATGACCAAGATATTGCATTTTGTTGAGGAAGCATTACACATCATTCACACTTTGGACTAAGGAATTTCAAAATAGCCAAGGGTTTATTAAGATTAATTTGTAAACCTTCACAAAAAATTTAGTACCTAAGATAAGTTATATCTTTGGATCCAAATACACACTTTAACCACTTTAGCTAAGCAATAGAAGATAAACATAAATATATATAAACCAACATAAAGAAGATTGTGAAGGACCTTTTGTTACAAAATTGAGATTAGAAAGTGAATATAGAAAGAACTAATGCTAAATAAATCCTTTGATTGTATTTTCAAAAGGATGGAGAGGTCACTGATTTATTTGTGCAAAGTCCTTTCACTACTCATATGACTTCCCATTTCTTGAAAAAATTTTAATATCAAGACCTTCCATTACAATAACACCAACATGACATTGTTACAACCAAAAGTTTCACCCAAGAAATCAATTTGGGAAATGCCAACAATGTTAATGTATGTGACAAACTTTATTACATACTCAATAGTGAATATCATGGCCACAACCATGACCTTATCTTTGTCCTTGAACATAAACAACAGTAGTATCAACTTCTATTATAACAAGATTATCTCTTATGGAAAATAGAGTTGAAACACATGTAACTAAAAATGGGAGAGGTGACATTTTATACCATTTTGTCAATCAAAGAGAGTTGTAAAGACAAATCTCACAAGATCTTGAGGAAGTGTTAGCCACAATATACTTAATTTGATTTACTTTGACATATTTAGCTTTGCATAAAGAAAAAGACTTAGAAGCAATGTCAAATTGCATAATTAACTCAAATAACCCTTGATATAGATAATACAATTGTTAAAAAACATCTCATAATAATTAACATGTTTAAATATGTGTTTGAAGATATCCAAAAGAAGGCTCCAATCCATATGAGTGGTTGTGCTTAAACTATTATACCATTACAATGCTATCTTTTAAAGATATGTGAGAAATTTAAGGCATCATCCCAAAAATGATAAGTGGTAATCACTATAAAGTGATTGAAAAATGATATATATCATGATTCCTATAGAAGATAAGAGGAGTTACACTGTATATTATGAATGCCATCATCAATTGAGTCAATTACAACTATGAAACATTGAACAATTGCACTAATTGCTACTCTAGAGTTAGAGGAGGAAAAAGCTATTGCAAAGGAAGAGTATGTTATTTAAGGAAAAAAAAAGAAGAGAAATTTAAACAATATAAAAACTAGATATAAACAAAAAACATAAATCCATACAATCTTCAGGGATAATTAGAATTGCCCCTCACTTGCTCCAAATATAGAATATAGAAATGTGCATATTCAATTAACCCAAAATCTAGCTTATATACAAAAACAAGTGGTCTAGATTGAAACCAACTTAATGGGTATTAAAATCCGGCATTGTAAACTTTAATATTGATAAAAGACTAAAAGAACTCATGGAAAAACTATTACAAATATGAAGATAACAAGAAAATTTATATGTGGATAAATATATAAATTGAAAACAAGTAGAATACATAAAAAAACATAAAATGTTTTCATGAGAAAACCAAAGCAAATCAAAGCATGGCTGCACAAAGCATCAATTTTAGCAAGCACTAACGGTTCATTTCACCTGTCTTAATGCACTCGCATGGTAGTGTGGCTTGGAAAGCAGCATGACAACAGGCCAGTGCCCTTTGTACCACATGAGGTCCTTAGCCCAGAGTCTCATTTCCCTGAAGTGAAGAAACTTATGCTGGATGAGGAGTGCCTCCTTGGTGAGAACGCGTCCATGAAGAAGCTCATCTTCACTCACCACACCACCTTCTGTCCGAGTGGTCGTCTGCTACACGGCTAGGTAACCACCTGTCCAAAGAGGTGCACCTCCGAGGCAGTGTTGCAGGATCATACGCAGCTGCAATCTCATGAAATGATGTTTCCTCCTGTCATCGTAGACACGTGATCTCGCAGACAAAGTTTCTGGCAGAATCACGTTGGCTATGTTAGCCTCCTTGGTCAACATGATGAAATAGCGTTGCGAGGTCCATCTGCTCCGCAGCCTATTAGCCTCGTCAATGATGATTGAAGGAAGCAGTGGCTTCCGCAAAAGCTTCCTGCCAAACGTTATCCAGTTCTCAAAGGGACCTCTCAGACCTCCAAGGGGCCATCATATCCGATCGATCAACCCTGTTCAACTGCTCCTGTGGCTGCTACCCTGCCATCAGTCACAGGATCCCCTAATGGTGGGATAGAGACCGCCTTGACGACAGCCTCTACAAATCCAGACGACCTAGACTTGAGCTTCGCAGCGAAACTAGCGGCAGTGTTGAACTTCCCTTCGCGCATGTTGGTGGAGAGGAAATAACCAGTGCCGTTTGCCTGCTGCCTCCTCGCAAACTCTCTCACTTACCAGAATCTGGCGGACCTACGATCAAAAGCAGATTTCCGTTCTACGTTAGCCCTCCAGATTGAAAAAAGGCTATTGGACAAAAACGCTAAAAGTCCTAGATAAATAAAGCGGGAATTCAAGAGCATATACTCATAACAGTCCTTTAAATTCAAAATGGCGTAGAGCACCAACATATATACAAGTAGAAAGCATAGCTAGTGAAATAGATTGCCGCAAAACCTCCTCCTCCCCGAGCTCTGGCGAATAGCTGCGAGCATCCTCCTCTAGATCATGGCGAATAGCTACGAGCTTCCTCCTCTAGATCATGGCGAATAGCTGCTAGCTTCCTCCTTGTTGACGCGAGCGTTGTGGTAAAGCAACTGGAAGGCCTGGGAGCAAACGCTCGCAAAGCCGGCCACCGACTGGAACACGCTGGGGAGTCCGGTGTGGAGGCTATTCAGTGTCATAGCTCGGGTATCATACACCGCCTTGGAGACTTGCTCCTTCTCCTCTTCCAGCTTCCTCCGGAGCAAATCCACCGCGGCTCTCCTATCGGCAAGCGGGCTCTTTGGCGGAAGAATGTCGTGGAGAACCGTGAGCTCGTCGGTCTCGTCCAGGTGATTGCTATGGTGGTGATGATCCGTCGTGGCAGTGGTAGTGGAGGCCGAGTCGGGGTGTTTCTTCTCGTAGTTCTGGATGTAGGCCACCTTCTTGTCGATCTCCTTGGTGAGTGACTCCACTTTCTTCCGGTGCTGGAGCTCCGTGTTCTGCAGCTCCACGATCTTGTGGATCACCGCCACGAAGCTCTTGATGGCCTCCAAGGCCACCTTGTCCGGGAGGCGATCCAGAGCCTGGTGCCACTCGAGACAGACGTCGTGGATTGGAGGAGTCGATGATCCAGCCGACAGAGTTGGAGAATCCTTGATGTCCTCGAACGGCATCACGCAGAGCCGCACCCAGCCGCACAGGTTCCTCATGTAGTCCCTCTGGCTGGTGATGAGCTTGTTCAAGCAGCTGTACCAATTGTCTAGCGATGCCTCGAGCTGCGAGGTTGCCAAGCGATGGATGTTGCTCGTCGCCTCCACCGAGCCCAAGAGACAATCCAGAGGCCTCATCCGGCTCACCGCCGCGTACTGCTTCTCGTGGACGGCGTAGAGCTCCGCCCACATTCCAGTCAACCTGAAACGACCATTCGTCAAAGAGCCTAGAACACGCATGGCATACCCTTCTTCCAGCTCCAGGAGCTGGGGATAGAGCTCCTCGTCGCGGATCTTGATGATGGCCGCCACGGCAGTGTCCACTCCCTGAAGCGCCACCACGATCCTCGTCTGGAGCATCTTGATCATGTTGCGCGTCTTGTCGATGGACTCGTTGTAGTCGCCCTTGGAGTCCTGGTGCCGGAGCTGGGCGCACTTCTTCTCATACTCGATTCGATTCGCCTCGGCAGTCTGTGGCAACCCATCGATCGATCGATCAAAAGAGCTTCCAAAACCAAGAAGAAAAAAACTTACTCGCATTTCTTCGTAGAGCTTCTTCTCCCATACAAGCAGCCGATCCAGAGTGCCCGAGTGAGCTCCAAAATCCTCGTCGGTCACTGCGAGCGCCGTCTCCTCCGTTTTGCGTTTGAGCGGCGACTTCCAGTTGGACCAAGAGATCGCATTGAGAACCTTGCTGGAGTGAGAATCAAACCCTGCGCGTAGCGATCGATGAGAAGAGAAAATCTAGCCCCAGGAACGAGCATCCTACCTCGATTCTCCACGAAATTGGAGTGGTAGTGGATCTTCCTCGCCTCGAGCAGCTTCCCTACCTCTTTGCCGCTCTGGTAGCCCCGGAGGAAAAGCTCGTCCAGCTCGCGAAGAACATCCACAAGCTCCTTGCTTCCCGATCGCCTCACGATGATCGCCAGGCTGTTATCGCTGGACCGCTGCTCCAGATCCTTCTCCGCCGCTGGAAACCACAGCTTCGCGCGAGCGCCGCCGCTGGTGCTCTTGGAAGACACAGTGAAGGTCTCAGCCGCCACAGCCACGGCCGCGGTGGCTTCGTCCTCCTGGAATGGATCGAGAAAGCCCCATGCGGAAGATTTGGGAGGAGGCGGCGGCGGTGGAGCGCTACCAAGTGGCAATGGCGGTGGAAGAACCTCTCTACCGCCGCCGGTCTTCTTGTTCTTGACGCGATGATCCTTCTTCTTCTCGGGGCTGAGATCCGGCGAGAGCTCCTCTTCCTCGAGAATCACACTGGCGGGATCGAGCTTGAGGCCGTGGCGATCATTGGGCGATGGCGGTGGAAGGAAGAGAGGGCGAGGCGGCGGCTTAGCGTCCGGCGTCGTTGGAGACGATGGATTGTAGTCGTGATCGGTGGAAGACGATGAGGTCGTGTCGGGGATCTCGGTCTCGCCAAACTGCCGGAATGCCGCTCCTACGTTCTTGAGCGCTTGCACGTACGCAGCGTGACTGGCCGCGAATTGATGCCGCGATGCCACCGCGTGCTTCATGAATCGCTTCCTGGCCTTGCATCGCGCGACCTTCTCTTCGTTGTCGACCTTGGAGCTCGTGCATCCCATCTTTCGATGGATCGATCGTTCGCTAGCTCGATGAGCTAGAGTATTTCGAGAGCTGGAAAACGATATTTCGATCGATCGAACAAGAAAGAGCGAGTAGCCGATCAAGAACCAGGAGAAGAGAACCAGGGATCACGATATTTCCATCGATCGATCACCGGAAGAACACGAACAAGAGCGCGATTAAAAAAAAGGGGGGGAGCTATCTATCTATCAATGTGATCTCCACTCCAAAACAACGATCGTGACCTCGAAAGCGAGAGCTTGTGCCTGCTTTGGATGGAGACAAGAAATAGAAATCCCCAGAACACGAGAGAGAGACCAGCGAAGAAAGAAAGGAATGCCTGGGCAGTGGCTGTCAGCGGCGCGGCCAGGCAGCGCCAAAAAACGAAGATCGGGCAGCGCACCGCGATGCAAAAGCCCACAAACGGGAAATTCTCCCTTCCTTGCGCGACCGGATTAATTAAATGCGGGCACATCAATCCGCGCGCACCCAACACGCAACGGGCGGCTCCTCAATCTAATCAAATCTCTCCTCCGCGAGGCAAGATATGGGAAAGGAATTTCTCCCCTCCTCTTTCTCCCTCGCTCGATTCGTGTCGCACGATTAGGGTTCTTCCGCCCTGCCCGGATCTCAAGGCCCCGCGCACAAGTGGGGCTCAAGAAAATTTGAAAATCACCGCGGGAAAAGCGATTCATTAACTAGAATATTAACTAGAATAATAACTACATACACGTGGCAATGAGTACTACATACACGTGGCAGTACTACCTTTGCCCTATTTAGCGCTAGGGCACACTTGTCATCGTCCCTAGGCTTGAGTGATCCGGAGGAGAGCGCCATTGTGTGCCTGGCAGTAGAGGCTCTGATACGCATGGAGGGAGATGCGACCGAATCCTGCCACCGCCTGAAAGATGCTCGGCAATCCCGTGTGTAAGCTGTTGATGGTCGTCGCCCTCGTGTCAAACACCACCTTTGCCACTCGCTCCTTCTCTTCCTCGAGCTTTGCCTGGATCGAATTCACAGCCTGACGCATCCTCTCCTCGGGAGAGCCCCGCCGCCTCGATTTGCCACTGCCTCGATTTGCTGCTGCTCGCAGGATGCTCGGGATGGACTCCACCAGATTGCTATCTTCGTTCGTCGCTTCAGCTGATCCAGGCGGATCGTTCTCCGCCGCCGCCTTCTCTTTGTCTGGATCTTTCTCCTTTCGAGTGTCAGTGGCTTGCTGCTGCTGCTCTTCCCGGCTCGCTTTGCGATGCTTCGTACTCGCTGACAAGCGTGCCATCTTCTTGTCGAATTCCTTGGAGACAGCATCCAGCTTCTTCCTGTGCTTCACTTCCTCGTTCTGGAGATCCACCAGCTTGTGAACCACGGCCTCGAAGCTCTTGATCGACTCCGAGGCTACCTTGTCTGGCAGTCTGTCCAGCGCCAAGCTCCAGTCCAGGCAGAGCTGGAGCATGGACGCCAGCCACGCCGGCCTTGCCGTGGCTTGCTTCTTCTTGCTGCCTGGAGTTTCCCTGGCGGATTCCAACTCGAGCTGCATGTTGCTAAGTCGAAGCCAGCCCGTCAGGTTGTGGAGGTAATCTCGCTGCGCGGAGATGAGCTTGTTGAATCCTGCGAGCCACGCACCGAGCGCTAGTTCGAGCTGAGAAGTTGCTAGTCTGTGGATGTTAGTTGTCGGCTCCACAGTCCCCCAGTGGTCTAAGGATTTCATGTCCGATGCGATCTTGTGTTGTCTTTGGTGACAATCGTAAAGCTCGTTCCACATGTTCATTAGCCTGTTCTAAGAAAATCAGTGATTGACAGAAACCCAAAACCTCGTACATACCCTTCAATAAGTTGAACAAGTTGTGTATGAAGCTCGTCTTCCTTGAGCTTGTTAATGGCCGAGATTGCCGTGTCCACACCCTGCAGCGACACCTGAATTTTCGTGGACAAGGTCTTGATCATGGACCTGGTTGCGTCGCTCATTTCTTCCTGGAGCTTGGGGGAACATTTTTTCCGGTACTCAGCTCGTATCACTTCTGTATTCTGCCATAACACATTTAAACATAAGACTGGCAACAGGAAGCACGAGAAATTACCTTAACTTCTTCGTACAGTTTCTTCTCCCAGGCCAACAAGCTGTCCAGAGTACCGGCATGACTTCCAGCTTTACCAGAGTCCTCGGGGCTGCTTAGGTGATCCTCGGAAGCAACTACCTTCAAAGGGGTTTTGCTCGAACCTCTGTGGCCTAGAGAAATTGCTTGCAACACTCTCTTCGAGTGCGATTCATGTCCTGCAAGATGTTTTGGAACTTAGTTATAAAGCAAATGATAGAAAGCGTTACCTCTTGAGTCGACGAAATTAGAGTGGTAGTGAACCTTTCTCGCCTCCAGAAGCTTGGAAACGTCCTTCCCACACTCGTAAGCACGAAGGAACAACTCATCAACCTCCTTGACAACGTCGAGAAGGTCCTTGCGTCCAATCCCGCCACTCGGGAGTAGAATAATCGCCAAGTCCCGCTTGCTGGAACCAATGACGCTGGGATTCTTGACAACCACCGGCTTGTCCGGGTTGCTGGACACTTCGTGCTCGTCATCGTCGTCCTCATCGTCATCATCATCATCGTGGTGGTGGTGGTGGTGGTGATCTTCCATTCTCTCGCGGTCCTGCTTAGAAACCTCCACCTTTTTCGAGGTGCGTTGGTCGTGAAGAAGAACCGGGTGCTCTTGCGGCCTGAACGGATCCAGAAACTCCCAGGCCGAGTCTCTTGGAGGCGACGGTGGAGGCGGAGCTGTGCTCGAGGGAACTGGAGGAGGCGGTGGAGCAGTAAAGTAGTACGCTCCCTTGTCATCTTTGTCATCGCCACGGTGATAGTAGAAGCCCTCGTGCTCTTGCTCCAACTTTTGGAACCGACTTTGCTGCTGCTCCTGTTCTCTCTTGCGTTGGCGGCGCTCCTGATCCTTGGCTTCCTCGCTCTCGTGATCTTCCGTCTTGATGGGAGATGCGGGAGGAGAAAGGAACTCCATGCGAGGAGAGTCTTGGAGGAACACTGGCGGCGGAGGTGGAGGAAGTGGGCGATCGGGTGACTGAAGGGAGCTCGATTTTGTACGCTCGGCGGCTGCTGCTTGAGCATCACGAAGCTCGGTCTCTCCAAATTGCCGGAAAGCCGCCCCTACGTTCTTCATGGCTTGGATGTAAGCCGCGTGAGTTGCCGCAAAGTGATGCCTTGACGCCACTGTCTGCTTCATGAGCCTTCGTCTCGCGCGACATCTACTCACATCCTCCGCCTTGCTCACTTTCGATGCTGCGCAACCCATGCCTTCCTCGGAGCTTAGACTACACTGCCTCTCTTCCTTCTACGAGAAAGACGATGATCATGCCTGTCCGCCCTATCTGATCATTCTTCCCAGTAGCAGCATTTTCTCGCTCGCTAGCATTCTTGCGAGATACTCGCCCTCTGCCTCGATTTCTGTGAATGCAGGGATGGATTCTCCCTCCACGGGAAAGAACTCGCTCTCACACACTTGCCTCAGGAAATCTTGTGAAGAAACGCTCGAATGTAGCCGAAATCTCGCGATGGATGCCGCCGCACTACCGCTGCTGCTGTCAAACGCATCACTAGTACCCGATGATACGCTCCGATTCCTGGCGGCATCCGGCCTAACCGAAAGAGATCGCTCGATCGATCGGTCCGATCAAACGAGAGAAAATGCCTAGCTAAACCCCGAGAAAGACCTAGTCTCCCGTTTAAACCCACAGAAGAGAGGCGGTGAAAAACAATTTCCTGACAGCTCCTTCACTCCTCGATTTTGACATTTACCACAGTAAAATAATGCCGGCCCGACCGTACTGGGCTGTCCGTTCGTACGCGCAGCCAAGTCCATGGCTTGGAAAAGCACGCAAAATATCTGATACGCTTTGGTCCCCACGAGGTATATGCCAAAACGATGCCTTTCTCGGGACGGGAATCGACCACCAGCACCCCACTGTCGGCAGTCACGAGGCCCGCGTCGTCCAAATCGTACGGTGGGATTGCGATGGCAGTGTTGCTTTCCGGCCCATCGCATCCGTCCATAGATTTGCTTGCTAGCTTGGTTTAATTTTTGCTGGTCGTCGTCAATCTCTAGAAAGGATGATGATGGTTTGGTCCCTGCAAGCTTAGTACGCAAAAATTAAGCTCAAAGGCGCGTTCTTCCCACAACCCAAACGAAATGTGGAGAATCTTCTGAGCACGCCACACCCCAGGGTTGAAAATCTCATCTCTGGAATCAAGTAGATTATCAGTATAGATATCAGTAGACTATCAAGCAGCGCTGGTTGATACCTCCCTATTGAAACTTTGAATGTGTCGAATGGATACGTCCTTCGATCCGGACATCGCCCACCTACAAGCAAATGGCGACATCCATTTTAAAAGCTCACTATCCTGCAAAACGGTCTGACGCCCTGCTCAAATTAATCGAAAGAACCCCAGATGATTACCTTTGGTTTGCTGTTCTGGAATCGCCATAACGGGATCAATCAAAGTCAGCATCTTCGAAATGATGTTTGCAGCAAGTTCACTTTGACAGTGCAAGCGCGTTCCTGAGAGGAAACACAGGCAAAAGAAAGAGTTAAGAACTTCCAAAAGAAACTCAAGTCTTACAGGTCTTTGAAGGGAAGCAATCGTCTCGATCATCACAGTTTCCTGCCTCTTTGCAGACATAATAAAACCTGATCAGTACTCTTGGTAGACTTGGAAAGTTTGATCCACGATACTTTTCATTTCGATATTAGGTGATTAAGCCTGCGATAAAAAAATACAGCATAGTTACCTACCAAAAGACAAATCCGCGTGTTATTGAGGAGCCCGCCAGACCTGGCCCTGGTCACGGTTTCTGCAAAAGGAAAAGCAAAAACTATCAGAAGAGCACATAAAATGAGACACACGAAGACAACCTTCCGACAAAAGACTAGTTAAGTTTTTGCATGGACTCCGAGATGTCGATAGATGCCACTAAAACTCCACCTTTTCTGACCAGTTTTGAGATCCCCACAGCACACTTGTGATCTGTGGAAAAAAGAAGTAAAATCAAAGGTTTTCAAGTTAAAGACGCGTACGTACCGTTTCGAGAGCTATGAAGCTCAAGGAAAACCAGATCGAACAGGCCACTATTTGCTTCCAAGGAAGCTTGTGTTCCTGTTTTAAGTTTCTAAAGAAATATAAGCAACCAGTCAGATCTAAAATGCACGCTTCCATGCCATCCATCTCTTTGCTTACCTTGCACGAGAAACCATCAGCTCCTCCAACGTCACTGCACAGACCAAGATTTAATTCTTTTCTCCAGAGCTCCCCAGCATTTAAATCTGTCTAGAAGGAACACACATTCTCGAGTAAAAATCCCAGCAAGACAATAAGCAATGCTGCGATCACTCACCAGGAGTGCTCTCGCGCCCACGCGCCTCGTCTTGTCCTTGGAGGAGAGGCTGCAAATCTCCTTCTGGACTCCTGTGAGCCCCGCGCACGAATTACCCGTCCCCAGCGTTATAGCGAAATACAAGTAGACAGTGCACAGAAACAAGAGTACTCCCAGCATTAGCAGTAGAAACTGGTGCCGATAGACGAGCGCCCTCCAGCTTAGATCCGGCTCCTCGCGCGTCGAGAATCCGGCCCTCCGCGGCGCCGAGAAGGGCGACGATGGACTCTGCAATCTCCTGTGAGCCGGCGAGCTCGCGGGATGGATCTCGTGCCCCATTGACCCCCAAAACCTAGCATAAGAACCCTAAAACCTGGCGGGAGATTTGGGTCGAGAATTAGGGCAAGCAAGCATAAGAATGCCCAGTAACGGCATTTGGCCACCTTTGTGACAACCCTTTTGACAACCCGTGTATATATACGAGAGGTCTCGGCTAGGGTTCTTGAGGAACGTTATGGGAGGTGGCGCGCAGCACCTCGCTGACATCTTTGGCACGGAACAAGACCGAGTGAACTGCCCTTTCTACCTCAAGATGGGCGCCTGTCGACACGGGGACCGATGCTCGAGAGCGCACGTAAAACCTAAGCAGAGCTGCACTTTGCTGCTCAACAACATGTATCAAAGCCCGGAGATCACCCCCGGTCAGGCATACAGAAACACTGCCATCTCCAAGGAAGAGCTCCAGAAGGACTTGGATGCGTTCTACGAGGACGTGTTTAAGGAGGTGAGCAAGCACGGCAAGGTGGAGGCGCTCAAGATCTGCAATAACTTCGGCAACCATCTGGCCGGGAATGTTTACGTCCAGTTTCGGCACGAGGAGCATGCAGTCGCAGCTATGGCAGCGCTGAATGGGAGGTTCTACTCCGGGCGCCCGATCGCGGCCGAGTTCTCCCCCGTGACGGATTTTCGCGAGGCGTCTTGCCGGCAGGAAGAGCAAGGAGGGTGCAGCCGAGGCGGATGCTGCAACTTCTTGCACCTTTATCATCCTAGCAGAGCTCTGATGAGGGAGCTGATGGGCGATCGATCGTCATCGCCACCAAGGCGGGATCACAGACGTCGGCCAAGGGAGGAGGATGGGGAGCGGGATCACAAACGTCGCCCGAGGGAGGAGGATGGGGAGCGGGATTACAGACGTGATGGGGAGCGCCATGCGAGGAGAAGCCCGCCCTGGCGACGAGAGAGCGATCGTGAAAGGCTGGCCAAAATCGAGAGGTGGAACAAGGAAAGGGAAAAGGAACCTTTGTAAGAAATCTCCTTTTAATTCCTCGCAATCTATGGTTGATGACTTCTATCACCTTGGCATTTCCAGAGCTCGCACACAAGTTCCAGTGCTCGTATTGGGCAGCGCTGGATGTGATCCTTCTTTTGGTTCATGACGCATGCCGATACAGTTGCCTGGACTTCCAAGCTCTGTGCGCTCGCTCGCAATGGCCAAATCGACGAAGCTCGCCTGCTCTTTGCCAGGATTCCACAGCGCGATCTTATCTCTTGGAATGCGATGCTCTCGGCATATGCCCGTAATGGGCTCTTGGGCGACGCTAAACAGCTCTTCGACGGCATGCCGCAGCGGAGCCTCGTTTCGTGGAACACACTGCTGGCGGTATACAGCCAGTGCGGCGACGTGGACGAAGTCAAGAAACTCTTTGATGAGATGCCCGGCAGGGACTTGATATCGTGGACTTCGCTGCTTGCAGGATATGCCCAAAGAGGGCATGTCGATCACGCAAAGCAAACCTTTGACGAGATGCCATTCCACGACCTTCTCGCGTGGAGTGCCATGCTAGCTGCATATTCCCACAACTCCGATCTTAGCGAATCTTCCAGATTGTTTAACGAGATGCCAGAGAGAGATGTCGGTTGCTGGAACTCTATGCTTGCCGCATTTGCCCAGCTCGGCGATCATCCAAAAGCCAAAGAGTTCTTCGATCAAATGCCGGAACGAACGATTGTCTCTTGGAACACTTTGGTCACAGCGTATGTGCACAGTCTTGAGCTCGATCGAGTTCGCGAGATCTTCCACGCGATGCCAGAGAGAAATCTCGTGTCGTGGAACGTTGTCCTCTCGGCATCTGCCCAGCACGACGATCTAGAGACAACCAAGAGACTTTACGACGAGATGCCCCAGCAAAACGTGGTGTCCATGGGCACGATGCTCGTGGCATATGCCCAGCATGGTCATACGGATAGAGCATTGGCCATACTCCACAAGATGCCAGTGTACGGCATTGGGTGTGTGAGCTCCCTTGTGGCGACGCTCGGACAGCAAGGGAATCTCACAGATGCGGTCAAGCTGTTTGACTCTTTGCCACGCGTTGACCTCTTCTCTTGGACGTCGTTGCTGGCTGCGTATGCCCAGAATGGCCACGTCGGCAAGGCGGTGGAGATGTTTGATTTGATTGACGAGCCAGATCTTGCCATGTGTAATGCCATGCTGGCGGGGTATGCCCAGACCGGGCAAGTCGTACAAGCACAAAAACTCTTCGAGAGAATGGAGGAGAGGAATCTTATTACGTGGACGTCAATGGTAACGGTATATGCCGCAAATGGGAATCTTGAAGAAGCACGCTACGTCTTTGATTCCATGCCCCAGTGGAATCTCGTGGCCTGGAACGCAATGCTATCGGCATATGCCCAGAACGGGCATCTAGAAGAATCAGAGAAGATGCTCGACCAAATGCCTCAATCAAATGCGTTTACGTGGACGTCGATGCTCGCGGCATATGCCCAAAATGGGCATCTTGAGCAATGCAAGGGAGTGTTTGATGCGATTCCTCACAGGTCACTGGTGTCCTGGACGGCAATGTTGATTGCATTCGCGCAAAATGGGCAGATTTACAGCGCTGTGGATCTCTTTGATCGAATGCCCGTGAGGGATTCCATCGCATGGACGTGCTTGCTAGTGGGATCCGTCCAGTGTGGGAATTCCCCCTTTGCGATCGAGATGTTTCACAGGATGAAGACAATGGAGCCCCCGAATGAGACGTGCTTCGTGGCGATGCTGCTTGCGTGTAGCCACCAGGGAAAAGTTTATGATGGCCGGAGCTACTTCACATCCATGGCCTTTGATCATGGCCTGGCAGCGACAAGGAAGCACTATGGCTGTCTCATTGATCTTCTGGGCAGGTCCGGATACCTGGAAGAAGCCCGGGACTTGATCGCCGCCATGCCTTGGACAGCAGATTATGCCAATTGGACGAGCTTTCTGGGCGCTTGTCGAGAAGCACGTGATCTCAAGAATGCTGCCTTTGGCGCGAGTGAAGTGATGGGACTGGGTTCGAGGGTGGCGGCCCCAAACCTCCTACTCGCCAGCGTCTTGGAGCAAGAGAGAAACTAGTGAGAATGATGCAAACACTACCTTTGAAGTTATTAATCAAAAGATAAAATCCATTGTTCTCTACGTCATGCTCACGAGCTCCTGGAGCCTTTTCACGAGAGCATTGGAATGTCCTCTCGATGACAGTGTCTGAGATGGGCTGATTCGAGCCAAACACGGCCTTGGCAACCTAGGACTCCGATGTTCTGCGAGTTAAACCCGGACACTGCCACCATGGGCTCCTTGTTGACATTGATCTGGAAGTGACGAATGGTTTCTCTCCCTACCCTTTAAAAAAACTGCATTCACAAGGAAAAAAAAACACATATAAGAAAGCAAATAAACATTAAAAAGCCATGCAATACGTCAATTGGGACTGAATGCTACATAAAGAAGTAAAACAAAGAGGATGAAAATGCAATAGACTAGAAAAAAAAAAAAAACATATAAAATACAATTCGGTACTGAATGGTTATAAAAGGATAAAAGCTTATATGAAAGCAAGTTGTTTGGAAGTTAGATTCATGAATCCCACATCCCAAGCATCATTTCTATCTATGTTTACCACTCCAAGTACTTCAGGTACTTGTGAACATTTTGTTTACCATTCCAAGTATTTCAAGTACTCATGAACATTTTTGGGGTTTGATGGTATGTTTAGAAACTTTTTTTTTACCTCATTTGATAAATCTTGGCAAGTCAAGCTTGCCTTTTGATCAAAAGACAAAAGTTATTATCATCCTTAAGCACTCCCCAATTCTTCCATTAGTTTAGTTGCTCCAAGAGATCCATTAATTATTTATCATGTGCCTTTTTTGAGGGAATAGAGCATGCTTTGGATGGACACTGCTAAAAATGGGCCAAGAAAACAACAATAACAAAGTCTCCAAAATATATAATAGCTTCACAATGTGTGGGCACATTGTGTTATGATAACTCTTTTTGTAGTTTCTACCAGACTATTGGAAAAACAAACACACAAGATTGGATTAGAACAATTGCCACAATATTACCCAATGATGCAATTGAAATTATATTATAGATTGCAAAAGTTATTAATTATTGCAACATGCAACTTCAAGCAAGAAGCCTCCCAAAAGTTGTTTTGGACACTACTAAATTGAGTTTATTGTCACGAGATATATGCAATTCCAGGTACTAGACATTGCTTACTAGTGTAAGACAGGTTCAATTCCATCTTTTAGAGGATTTCCCTTTTAAGGTTTTTTTTGTGCCTTCACCAGATATATATTTAATATTCAAATTTATTTGGAATATAAAATGATAAATATATTAAATATTTTAGAATTAGTAATATTAAATCATATTTCTCAGTAAATATTAAATTAATTTAAAATTTTGATCTTCTTGTGCAATGTTGATAGCCAGTGCTTTGGATAGTATATTACTCAATAAATATTAAATTAATTCAAACTTTGACTATCTTATGCACTATTGACACCTAATGCTTTGGATGTTACATATATAGGTTTAGGCTATGAATGGCTTTGCTTGGGTTTTCTAAATATTACCAAATTCCAATTGGTGGATTTGATTTGATTTGATTTTCCAATATAACATAGTAATTTCTTTATTATTTGTAGATGACTCATAGCTTTATAGAACACTTTTTTTAGTGTTTAGGGTTTTTTTATTCTGGTTATGGCTTCTTCTTTACCGATGTCTTCTTCATATTTCAAATTGGTCAACTCCACCATTTCCAAAGTGGTCACCATAGCCCCCCTCCAACTTTCTCCACACGAATGGGATTTGTTGCCTCTGAGTTCTTCAATTTCAAAAGGTCCTTCTCTATGTGCACCTTTAAAACATCTATCTCTAAAGCCTTTGTCTCCAAAGGCTTTATCCCCAAAACATTTATCTCCAAGGCTTTTGTCTTTTGATACCAAACTTTTATCTCCTAAAAACAAGTAGTCTTCTACTAAGAATTTCAAGGTAAGGCCATCTCGTTATGCTATAGACACTTTTATTATTAAATGTGTAGAGTGCAATTGTCTTCCAACATATATCATTTTGAGCTTTAATTCTAATGAAGAGTTAAGAAAACACCGTCCTTGGAAGACAAAGGCTATTGAAGAGTTTGTTACATCTTATGTTGACTATTATTATGAAAAAGATGCAAAAGAAGATGAAGAAAAATTGTAATACAAGAGTGGATTTTCTTATATATAGTGTGGGATAGCTTTCAAGTTTCATTTTATCGTGTAGGTCATGCCACACATTGTTGGTAGTTGTGAGAAGGGTGCTTTCTATGCCACTGAAAAAGTTTAAGACAACCCTTTTTCAAATGACACTATCTCTTCATCTTCATTTTCTTCTATATAATAGTAATCAATGTACGATATGACAAACTCTTCAGTTGCCCTTGTCTTCCTAGAATGGTTTTTTCCTTGCTCTTCCTCAAAGTCAAAGCTCAAAATAATATATGTTGGAAGATAATTGCACTCTATGCATTCAGTATCAAAAGTGTCTATAGCACAATGAGATGGCCTTGCCTTGAAATTCTTAGTAGAAGACTACTTATTTTTAGGAGACAAAATTTTGGTATCAAAAGACAAAGGCTTTGGAAATATAGATTTTGGGGATGAAGCTTTTGGAAACAAAGGGTTTAGAGATAGATGCTTCAGAGGTGCACATAAAGAAGTACCTTTTAAAATTGAAGAACTCAAGAGTAACAAATCCCATCCATGCGAAAAAGATTTGGGGGGGCTATGGTGAAGCAAAAGGGGACCACTTTAGAAATGGTAGGGTTGACAAATATGGAATGTGTGTTGATGAAGAAGAGGAAAACCTAAGCCCTAGTAAAGAAGAAGATTAATTTAATATTTATTGAGGAATATGTTATCCAAAGCACTAGAATGCACAAGACAATCAAAGTTTGAATTAGTTTAATATTTATTAATTAATATGCTTTTAATGTTACTAAATTCTAAAATATGCAATATATTTATCGTTGCATATTCCAAATAAATTCAAATATTAAACATATATTCAGTGATGTATCTGTCGGGCTACTAGGGATAAAAAAACCCATAAAAAGGAAATCCTCCCCCAAATTGGTCTACTTGAAGAGCCAATTCCACCACAATGGTGACAAAGCCCATATAAAGAGTTCTCTAGATGAGGAAGAGAAGCTTAGTGTGATGGGGATGCATGTGTGGGTCAAGAGCATAGTCAAGGCATAAATGAGATGCCCAAAATGTTGAGCCCAGATAAATTGGGAACATTTGCAATAGTGACTATGAAGCCGAGCCCATTGCTAGTGTTGCCAAGTTCTTAAGCATCTGATTTGAAGTCCTCCACAACCTTTGCTAGTCTTGCACACCTTGCCATTGATGGTGAGAGTGTTATTGTTGTCTGCGACACAAACGTCCTAGAGTACGTCCTTGTTAGCTACAAGGGCAAGTACGCAAAGAAGAAGATGATGATGAGAATTACCAACATTGTTACTGTTATAGATCCAGTGTCGCGAATGTGACTTCGGGTATTGAAAGTTACCTGTCGACCAATCCTTACGGACACTCTTTCCTTACTGCCACGATGGCAAGAGGTCGATATTGCTGGTTCCCTTTGTAAGCAACCAAAGAGAATAACTTGAGAGACGATCCATGGGGTTCAAATATAAAGGGAAAGGGCCCATGAATAAAAGTGCACCCCTTTTTCTAATCGGTTAAGGGTCTTAGGATATTTGGGTTGGGTGACCTCCTGGGAAGTTCAAACTCAGGAGCTTACATTTGGTATCAGAGGGGTCTCAAGTCCGACTTTGTTGGTTGGAGCTTACATTTGGTATCAGAGGGGTCTCGCGTCCGACTTTGTTGGTTGGCTAGGGGAATCACACCACATGTTGATTGACATTTGGTTGGTCCAGTTTGCTCCCACTAGGCTTGACCCGAGGGGTAGAGAGTGTGGCTCTTGGGAGAGTTGCGGCTCTCAGCTTCCGTTCACGAGGGTGTGAACTTGTAGGGAAGCGTGGTGGATTGTAAGCAACCAAAGAGAACGACTTGAGAGACGATCCATGGGGTTCAAATATAGAGGGAAAGGGCCCATGAATAAGAGTGCACCCTTTTTTCTAATCGGTTAAAGGTCTTAGGATATTTGGGGTTAAGTGTCTTTAGGTTTGAATAGTACTGGGTTGGGTGACTTCCTAAGAAGTCTAAACTCAATAGTTTACACCCTTTATCAGCCCCTCTTGTTCAAATGTTAATTTACTAGGCTTAGCACTTGTACTTAACCAAATGGACATAAGGTAGGAACTCCTATGTGTTTCTAGTTGAGCATACTTGGCCTGGCTCTTAGTTCTCTTTTGCTTTGTCTTGCATTAGTTTAGCAAGAACCTTCACATATTGAGATTAGTCCCTCAATATTGCTGGATAATAGCTTACTGTGTTTGCCAAACACCCTCGCTATCATGCCCTTTGTGTTAGTCTCATTTCAATCCCAAATGCTATTTATGGAAAGTGTCTAGATTTGCTCATTTGGCATACCTACAGAATGTAGAGACTGTCCTGAACATAATGGTGTTCGTCCCGTGTCCAAATTCATAATTTAGGGACATTCCATATTTAGTAAATTTCGAGCTTGTCTTAGGGACTAATTCCTGGTACTAAGGGAGGCTTGGGGTGAAAGCCCAAAGCGCGTGTTTCTCAAGGGGGGGCTGTGGGAGTTTCCAAATGTATAGTAGGGATAGTGGGTAAGTTGGGTATAATCAGCTAACTTGAGGTATAGTCTAGCTTTTGCTTGCGTGCTTATTTTTGTTCTGCGTCCAATTTGGGTTTAAGCCCAAGTTCCATTCCATGCTAGCTAGTAGAGTACCCATGTCTTTGCGTTAGGCCACCGGTATGCCAAAATAGCGCTAAACTCCATTTGGCTCCATTTTGCGTATTGCTCCTAGCAATGGGATGCTGGTTGTTCTAGGACTGTTCTAAGTTGCTCTAGGCTCCTATCCTTTTGCTCCTTGGGCTGTGTGCTTGGGAATTGCTCTATGGTCCGGTTCCATCACTCCTTGGCTCCATGCTTGAGAGTTTGGCACCGTTCCTTCGTTTAGTGGCCCAAGGCCCTGAATCTTG